ACATCCATCAGTCATTAAAGACGGTGATAGAATTCAGGCTGAGTCAAATTGAAGTAAAGGGTAGCCTCATAGAAGTCCTACAATGAATATGTTTCATGTAACTGTTCCCTGACAGCCTCCATTTTTATTTATGGACTTTTAGATAGACTGCATTACAGCCAAAGACAGAGTGTCTCTTATAGCTCAAGACAGAATATCACTTGAGCACAGTTAATAAATCATGAGTTACATGAAATTTATAGTATTTTTCTCGAAGATGATTATTCGTTTCATAATCAGTATAACTCAATAATAAACTAAATGTACGCTTATATTTCACAATAGTATTAGTATTTGCATTTCAAAGATCTTATTGCTACCAATTATTGAACATTCACTAATGGAAAGATACTTCATTAAGCACATTAAGCACTAAACCTATCTCTTTTACTCCTTACAACAACCCTTTATTCACCAACACAAGTAACATATTCTTGAGTGCTCGTTATGTGCTGGGAGCTGTGTTGGGTAATGGACTATGAAGTGATAATGAGAGCTAACATTTACTGAGTTCTTATTAAGTGCCAGGCCTAGTTCCCAGTACCTTACATACATCAACCCCATGAGAAGAGATCCTTCAACCTTCTCAGCTAACTAAGGCTGACCTTGAGTGAACCCCCAGTGTAAGCCAAGCATCCTGCTCACAATAACCATATATATTCAGTCTTCCAATTTGGTTTATATGGTTTTATGGAATTCTAGGGTGCTCCTGAAAAATCTGGCAATCGCTATGTTGACAACTACTGAATTGGATTCTCTTAAGGGTTCTAGTTCCATTAAATGTTTAGAGAATAGTATAACTATTATTCTCCTTGGCTATTAATGTTTTACGTTATCAAAGAATTCTTTGGCTAACAGAGTTTCTTAATGGTCTATATTTTTTAGTTATAGAAATTTTTTTGTATTAAATCTTATTTTATTTTATCAATATACAATGTGGTTGATTATTGTGGCCCATTACCCAAACCTCCCTCCCCACTTCCTCTTCCCCCTCCCTCCTGACAACTTCATCTCTGTTCACTTGTCATAAAAACTTCAATAAATTGTGATTGTTGTGTCTTCTTCCCTAACCCTGCCATTTATTATTTATTTATTTATTTATTTATTTATTTATTT